TTGCATCAACTGTCATCAGCTTATAAGGTTAGAAGTACTTTACTGAATTAAAATGGCGGTGGCTGCCTAACCTAACCGACGCCGTGTCGCATCTCTGTATTCTAGGACTCTAAGAGGACCTGGTATCACTCGTAAACCTTTCTCTCTCGCACTCTTTGTCATTCTTGAACACACTTGCGGCCTATAGAAAACAAAGGCATTCCACATCCATGTACTATATACTCAAAGGTCTATGATTGCATCTATGTTTTTAATTTAACCTAACCTAATGTCCCAAATATTACTGTTCCAACAAGGTTAGGTAAGACTCTTTAAAATTTATTTATCATTATTCATAATATATGCATAATACATATCTTCCAGAGTTTAAACATGAATTCCACGCTTCGATCGAGACTAATTGTTACTAAAAGCCTATGTTACCATCAACGGAATTTGTCGATACAAAAAGATGACAAAGATCGAATTAATCACGCAAAAGAAAATTCAATGGATGAATTGGTGGAACCAACTACTTGCTGTATGTCAGGATGCGCAAATTGCATATGGATTAAATATGCAGAAAAATTGAGTAACATGGTAGAAAAATCTGACATAGATCTGCAAAAAATCATCTTTGACAAGGTAAAAGATCCTAATATGAGGGCATTCCTGGCAATGGAACTGAGGTGTCGGAAGCTGATAAAATAGTGTAAACGCATTATTATGATTTTAGTATGAAATTATTACTATTTGTATGAAAAAATATTGCTATTATTAGTATGAAGATAGGCAATCCAACAAAAAAATTCACCTGCGATATTTAAATTGATTAAATCCATATATCAAAAGATTGCGACTTCTATAGAATACCTTGTATACAGTAAATTGTAAATAAGGTTCTAGACAATGAATATTATTTTCAGATTATGTACATATAACGTTACTGAGACTATATATACTTTGTATATATATATATTGTAAATAAACTTCCAGGTAATAAATAATATTATTTATAATTTGTAATATAAAATGTAAATGTAAATATAAAATTCTTAAGATTATATGTTTATATTTATTTTATTATCAATTTAATTTGTGTTAATATTTTAGTTTTAGATTATGATTGCGTTCTTAAAAGTTTACTGTAATTTTGACGTACAATTTATCATAGCCAAAAATTAAAAACATTATTGAGTACTAATATTTAGTCTCTGCCAAAAGCTTGATAATTCTTTTTATTATTTGTACATGTAGCGACATTAGGTCTGTTTTTTATAGCTGAACTGGCTACTAGTTGAGAGTTAATCTTTCTTCTTCCAATGTAGAAAGAGACAGATAAACTGAACTAGTGCAGCAGTTCGGCTATAAAAAACAGACCTCTTATTTGAAATTATTGTTTTATATATATACTTATATATATATATATAT